CCCCAAAACCCCAAAACCCCAAAACCCCTTTAAAAGTTTTCAAAATTGAGTTTTATTCAGAACTTTAGTTGACTATTTCTCCGTCTGAGTCAAGCTCCATTATTTTGGGTTTCTTATCAGACTCCAGCTTTTTCATTTGGTTTGAGATGAAGTCAGGATCTACAGAGCATTTCTCCACTTCAGAGCCAGTTGTGTTCTTCATATAAGTCTTTTCAGAGCATTTAACCTTGCCAAGGATGGAGTAAGGGGTGTCTTTCTTAAGTCTTTTCTCAACATAATTCTTAAGCTTTGCTTTCTCATCTCTCTTCTTTTGGATCAACTTCTTTTTAGTTTCAGTTGTGAGCATGTATTCGTTCATCTCAAGGCTTCCTTTCTTAAATCCAATGCCTGAGCTTTGGAGCATCTGCTTTTCATGTTTTCTCATAGACATAATTTTCTGGGAGTCTACAAAATTGGAACGGAGATTGGCCCGACTAGCCTTAATCTTCTTGTAGACCATATCGTTATCTTCTTCTTTGTGGAGGAGACATTTCTTTTGTTTTTCTGTGTTCATGAATTGTGCACAGTCATAATGCTGACAGATTCCGTAGTTACTTCATTTTCCCAACACAAGGATCTGATCAGAGTATTTAGCAGAAAGGACTATCCCTTCATTTTGCCTCTGGTCCATGAGGCTTGGCTTCAGTATAGCAATTAAGTCTCCGTATTTCACATTTTTTGAGAATAGCTCAGCTGTTTTATTGAATAGGATAAATTCATTTGTCTTGTATCTATCTTGAGTAAATTTTATAGCTTTGTATGCTTGAGTTTTTACAAAATCATCCTCAGACATATCTGCTCTCATATAGTCATCAAGCCTCTTCTTTTTAAGGTCTTTGACCTTAGAAAAGAGAGCGCTTTTATACACCTTGAGATCAGAAAGTTTAAAGCGGGCATAGGCAGTGGTCTTCTTCTTTTTGGGATATTTAAGAAAAGGTTTCTCAGAATATCCCAAGACTTTCTTCTCCACTACAACTCCTGTGATGAAGTGGCTCTTCTCTAGGTTTTCTGGTCCTCTAGAGAAAATATACTTCTCAATATCTTGAGAAGGGAGATACTTAAGATGCCGAGTTTTCTCAATGACTGACCTGAAACTATGCACCTTTGAAGTAGAGTAAATGCTAAGTTTGGAGTTTTCCTCTAGCTCTGTTGGAACATTTGGAGCTATATTAAAAGAGCTGAGTTTTAGAATTCGATAATAATGATATTAACTTTTAAAAGTATCTAAACTTAGCAAGACTTGAAATAAAATATCCAAATATATTAGATCGTAGGAATTTTCAACACTTCTCTAGTCTCTAAAATCCCAGGAAAGTTTACAACTAGATATTTAAGCGCTATTACCCCAAAGCCTTTGATTGTTTTGAACAAACAATGATTTCTTCATGAAAAGGCTATCAGTGAGGTACATTTTAACCCCCATAAAGTACTATCTTTCCTTAATTTAAATCTTGAGGAAATACAAGGCATCTTCGCCAGTACATAAGTGCTTAGCACTGTGATGAAACCTTTTTAAACGTACCTTGGGCTTCAGCTCCTTTTGTGTCATCAATTTCAGCCTGATCTGCTATGCAGAAGGGTTTATATGTCTCAATAGTCTCTTCAACAAGCTCCTTCTCTTTAGAAGTATTTGCCTTTGCTGGATTACGCATGGCGAAATCAGCATTTGCTTGAACATTTTCCTTTTGCATTTGAGCGGGATATAAATCTTAATATTTTAAATTTTCAATCAAATTTACTGATTTAGGGGTTTTGGGGTTTTGGGGTTTTGGGGTTTTGGGG